GAACCTATTGCAATAAAACGGCAATTTCATACTTTAACCCCTAATACAATCAATACTACACAAACATTTGTATGTGAAAAAGCTGTGCTCTCGATGGATCCCACACAATTTGACTGAAGCTCAAAAAACGGACGTCTCACGTCAAATTTGGTGTGGGACATAGTAACAGGCGACGAAACATGGATTTACAGTTACGATCCCAAAACAAAGCAGCAATCGAGCGTATGGGTCTTTCGAGATGAGCCGAAACCAACCAAAGTGGCGCGAGTGCAAAGTGCCTCTAAGCGGATGATTGCTTCTTTTTTTAATAAAACTGGACACGTGGCTACTGTTGTTTTGGAGGATTGTTGTCTTAGACAGTGAATGGTACCCCTTAGATTGTCAATGGTTCAATATCTATATTCTTTATGAACGTTAATCCGTTCACTCTCTTGCTCACTTCCTCTTCTCTCAGCCGGACTGCCACGTTTATCACGCGTAATATAATTCCAGATTTACTTATATTAGTAATTGTGATCAGTTTAGATTATTTACTTAAGGACTATGTTTGGTGAGCATTTGTGTGAAACAAATCCCAATAAACAAATTTGCAGCAAGGCGCTATTTAATTTCAGCACACATTCCCTGCACGGTCACGTCTCGATAACTTGCACAGTTCTTGGCCTTCTTGGCCCAAGTTCTTTTAACATGTTGTACCGTGAATAGTGATTGGTACACGACTATTTGTTTGCCGAACGTTGTTGACAAACCCGTAAACTCCGTATCAACTTACACCACGATAACGCCAGTTCTCACACGGCCAGCAGACAAATCAATTGTTGAAGATGTATTTTGAGAAACAATAAATTCATTTCTGACCATTATTTTATAGTATTTTTTTCTTATCCATCCCGGAAACTTATATAGTGCGCCACACGTAGTTGCAGGTTGCTTGTATCCACACAAGACACGTTAGTGCGGCGTCTTATAGTCATATGCACACTCTTCATCACACACACATTCACACAATCGCTCGCTTACAACTACGGCTTGCAGAACCGGTACGGTTTCTAATATTCTGATTCCCGATGCTGGGCTCGGATCAGTACCGGTATTCCCGGCTAACTGTAACCAGTAATTATGCCTTTTCCGGGTTTTTCGTGTCTGTTCAATAATTTACGCAATAATAATACCATAAATGTCAGTGCAAAAAAAAGTCAATGCCTCGTGTGTGGTGTTGTTTGGTGCGCCTGTGGCGCACTCCATGGGCTCTATATGTGTAATACCAGCGCCGTGGCTATTCTCAGCCACGGCATATGCTGAGTGGTGCCCATTCAGTATCTTAATTTAAGTTTTAATTAATTTTTTATTTTGTAAGTACAATTTTAAATGAATGACACTCAATCAAATTTTGTTTCTTTCTTTCTTATTTTTTTCTAAATTACAAAGAAAAACTTCATTCTCTAGAAAAACAAAAGGTTTTTATTCAAAATATCTATTTGAGAGATTATTAGTTTTAACGTAACATAATTATGTAAAATCGCATTGTAATTAAGTAATAAGTTTAAGTAGCATTATAATGGCATAATTAAATGGCCAGCTCATCGGTACGAAGTTGCCAGCAGGCGACGTTACTCATAACTCAGTAGATAGCTAGTACCTTGCTATAACCGCGAATCTATAATTGCGGTAGCGGGACTGATTGCACATCGACAGTACCGGGATTTCCCGGTATTTCCGGATCAGGGAATTCCCGAGAGCAAGCCCTATATACAACACACACCACACCTCCACACCCTGTTTTAAACTACAATAACTATAACATCCTAATTTTATGTAAAATTAACGATAATGCCATATTTTATTTAAATATTGGACATTCGTCGGATTTCTAGCACGAGTAAACATCCAAAAATAGAGTCGTATCCAGATTATTGCAAACTAAGCTCAAGTTATAATACGAAAACATTTTAAATTAAATGTACCTTCTGTAGTTCATTGCTTTTCAGTTTATTGACGAAAGACTGGATTTGCTCAATTCGGGCAGAGGTTTCAACGACGAGTTCGAAGTGGAGTGCAATTATTACGCGGATAGACTCGGTACAGGTAGTGGCCAAAGACTGAAACAGCAATACAGAGAATGGGCCAAGACTGTCAAGAAAGAAGGCGGCGCGTTCTTCAAAACGGTTAAAGATAAGGTAAAATTAGTGACGTTTTCTATATTACATGTACTTTTTGTTTTATTTTAGTTGTGCTTGCATCCTGAGATGTGCGTATGTTAATAGTGATGTTTAGATTGTGATGTGTTTATCGTAAATATTATTAATAATAATTTCCTAATTAATTCTTTGAATACTTTTTTAAAAAACACTTACTGAATAAGGACACCGTTACAGTAGAGTACAAGTTGCAAATAAGTTGATTTTATTTTGCCATTATACATATTTTGTTATTTTAGTTCGTTTACAGTAGCTTATGTTTTGGCTTGCTTTATATTGTTTGTATTTGGCGACTACTAACATTTAGACATTATGTAGGTTGCTATACCTTTTTAGCTTGTATCCCAGCTGTAATACTTTGTTTCTCTTTTTTATAACATCAAGTGACGGGACGAACAAGTCGTGCGCCTGATGGTAAGCTACACGCCTATCCATAACAGTTACAGTGCCACTCAGAGCTTTAAATTGCAAAGATCTAAGGGGCACTGCCACTACGTCCGTCATCCTGAGACATAATTTGACTTACACTTACCACAACGTTTGAAACTTGTATTGTTTACCAGTTGTAAAGTCGCTGTAGAACTTTAACAGATGTAATTTATTATTAAAAAAATAATGTAATTTGAACGAGTGCAACCAATACTTTGAAGAATCGGCAATTCTATAATGTAACTGAATGCATGCATGCTGTAAGTACGTAAGACATATCTTTGGCTTTAAACTGTGAATATTTTCAGGCGAACCCCGCAGTTCAATCAGCTGTTAAAACGGTGAGTCTAGCACTCTTGCCTGGTCTATCGGTCTGAATTATATTCACTTTTGTTGTAGAGAGTTCGTGCTTTGTTTTCTTCAAAGTGATTCGTACATTGGTTTATTGTAATTAACGCGGCACAACCGTCTTTGGTTGTGCAAGTTTGGCAAAAATCGAATTCAAACTTATCAGGACTTTATATGTTGCCTATAGAAAACGGGGCGCCCTGCAGTTCGGAAGATTTCTTATCACAATTACGGGGTCCCAGATACGTGCATATGTCTCAGCATCTTTGTATACGTCGTAAATTATATTAGATACACTTAGTAATTCATGAAGTGAAAACAATAACAAACACCCACTCTCGTATCGATACTTCACAGATATTACGCTGTCGCTATCGCAAAATCGGTATTATATGATTAACTGCTATAGGTACTATAATATTTCTTTAGCAAAATTTATTATCATAACAAAATCAATACTAGTAAAGAACAATTATATTTGTTATACCTTTCGTAGATGTTTTTTGACACGTCCTGCGAAACGGATTTTGCGCGTATTTGACATAACCATTTGATCGCCTAACCATATAAAACCCTCTCACTTAATCTACAGGCAATTTCTTAACATTAATCTTGGATTAATGAAAATTTTTGATATTGCTACTAATTGAGAAAAAACTCATTTCAGTAATCAATTAAGTATATGGTGATGGTTGCGCCTGCGCTTTTATATTGTGTTCTGCTCGTAGGTATTTCTATATTTACGTTTGTCCTTAGTCCGCGTATCTGTTTGTATGTGGTTTTAACACTATTTTCTATAGCTGTATTATTTTCTTTTTAGATTTTATGTAGTTTTTGACGAAATGCATAGGGATAACTGCCTCCGTGGCCGATCGGTTACCATACCGGCATGCCACGCATAGGTCCCAGGTTCGATTCCCGGGCCGGGAGAAATATTTGTATGGCCTACATTTATTTCTCTCGTGCATTTGGAAATTAAATTACTTATTCTCACGCTGACCTACACCCGTGAACTGGTTTAACACACAGCAGGCACAGAGTAATGTTACTACGCACCTATTTTTCTGCAATTCAAAACAGATTTCCATAATATATTGAGGCACTCTGCACTAAATGTATTTATCGCATTCCAGAATGGAATAATCAAGACTAATATAACCTAATACAGTGTAATGGGAAACTTATCATCTTGGTATTTATTGCATGTGACTGCATATTGTGACATGATGTTCATAGCCCCCTGTTGGCAATAAACTAGTTTTTCCTTTTTCTGGGTGTCTTTTCTACAATTTTTGCACTTTATAATAACTTTTATTACATATTTTTTAGGAACTTATACTAAAAATTTTATTTATATAGTATGACATGTTATGTTGTCATTGTAGGTTCGACAAGGTGGCAGAAATATGAAGTCTGCGGTAAAAGGGTTGAAGAATAAACTACCAAAGACAGGCTCACGGCCGTCGTCAATAAACACAACTGACGACAGCAGGTATCATCGATTTACTTTCTCCGATTTTATAATACTATGCTTTATTATTTATGTTACACAATAATTAGGTACCGCTTCAACTATACATAGTATCCCACGGCTATGAGGGTAACCTCGGTATTCCCATAGACGTGGTACTTTAAATATTGTAGATAGGTTAAATAGGGAATAGGATAGGAGGGACTTGAAGTCTTAAGTAATAATCTAACTTTAGCACTATAGTATCTCAAACGATAAAAAAGACAAACAAATTAGTTTAAACGATTTTAAAGAGATGCCGATACGATGCTCCAAAACCAAAGGCGGAAAAACAAATTTGACAGTTGTGGAATCTTGAGAATACGAGATATACATTACCTTTATAAGAAATACGACGGCTGGTCCTCTGTACCATCTTTTGGAGGAAGAGAAACGTTAGCATAATTCGCACATTTTCGTCAAATACATCGTAAGAATTGAATGTAGTGTAATAATGATTGTTAAAGCATGTAAAACTGATAAACAGGAAAGCTTAGTGTGCTTCAAAATTCTTATAAGACTATCTGTTCTTCCTAGAGCTCCAAACATTTGACTCAAAATAAAGTTCGTTCTTCTTACCCCATCTGACCTTAGTATATTTTATTCATGGAGACATTATTTTATTTTTTTAAATAATACTGTATTCAAGACTTTTTAAAAGTTGCTTGCCTCATCTATGAATGAAATCGGTTCAATTCATAGACGAGGCAAGCAACTTTTAAGTTTTAAAGATTTGTTATACAAAAAGCAATTTAATAGTGAGTTAAAAACAAAATTAAGCATATTGTTTCGAATATCCATCATACCAAAATAAGAAAATCTAAAGGCATCAAATTGACCGGAGTTGCTTTAAATTAAGATACTATAATACGTAAAATGAATAAATTATTATAATTGGCCCTTTTCTCATCGGCAACTTAATAATATATGTAACATTTTTGTAAAAAGAAAAAGCGACCTGAAAAGTTTGTGGAATTACACTTATTTGCCAAGTTTTTTGAAATCGGTTACCGGAAAGTGCACGAAACCGAATTCATCCCGTAGTTTGCCACCCTTAGACGTGGAATATTTTCTTCAAATTTAAATGGGACCAATACTGAGGTATCTTCTTTCCTATAGTAGAGCTCCTTGTCAAAGAATCGTCATAATCGGTTCACAATTGCCTAAGTAATAGCGCAACATACACAAAAAAATATTGTTGAATTGAGAACCTCCTCCTTTTTTGAATTCGGTTATAAATGCGGGATATAAAGTTTCCATGAAGGAAAATATCGTACATACAATATTTAAAGTACTTTTCCTCCGTGTTTTATTGCCGTAGGTCGCCCTGTACACTCGAATGTAAAGTATTGCTATTTTTCTTGAGATGACTGTAAAAAGAATAGAAGAATAGAATAGAAAGATACAAACTAGAAGTTAATAATACTTGGACAAACAAAATAAAATAGAAAGAATTAAAAACCAAAATAAAATACACCAAAACAAGAAAAAAAACAATACAAAGCAAAGCAAAATAGACAAAAAGCAATAAACAAAATATAAGTACTACAAAACAGGGCGCGACTTGTGTGAGAGCGACATAAAGTGATACTACTGTTCTCATAGAAATCCCGCGCTTTATGTCGCTCTCGCGCTAGTCGCGCCCTGTCGTCTAGCCTTACTTATTCAGCTTATGCCACAGCTAGTAATAAATGCTAACAATTTCATTACTAGAAAACTATAAAGTTCCTATTGATTTTCGTCTGTGCAATGAGAGCTAAGCAAATGTTTGTTTATTTCGTTTTTGTAAGTTTTTTTATTTGTTTGTTGTTATGTTTCTAGATTTTCTTGCGGCTCGGTAACCCCGGTATCATCAGATTCGTCGGAGTCGGCGCCAACACATGAAGATATGCAGCGTGACCATCCTACTGCGCTACCGCTGGACCTTCTCACAGAAATGGAATTCCTGTTTAAAAATGAACGCCGCCGAGACAGTCTCCCCGACAATGCTCCAGGGTCAGAAATCAGTCTTCCAGAAAAAGCTGTAAGTATTATTATACTTTACGGCAAGTTTTGGAGATAAAACAATAATCTCGTGTTTTTCTCAGCCGATAAAGGTCATAAAAGGTTTAACACGGTTGTTTTCGGATGGCGTCTTATTATTTCTCATAAAGTTTTAATAGGACTAGGATGTGAGACGATTTTCGGTATCCGCTTGCTAAAATCTGTTCGGCTATGTCGCCCTGTATATTTATGCTGTATAAATCTAATAAAAGATACAAAAATCTTCGTAATCGTAATTACGCCCGTGTATATAATAAATATACTGTAATAACCAAATTGTTTGTATTAAGTAAAGTAAGTATTAAATTTATTTCTTGCTCCAGACATTTCGCTAATTTTTCTTTCTTATTTAGTCTAGTTCTATTTGTTCGTTTATTTTACTTTACTTTTTACATCGGAGACTACTTAAATGCACTTTTATTCAGTAGAAATTTCTTAATCATTCGTAGTTTTTTTTTTTCAATTGTATATCGTTTGCATGCATTTGGTCATTTATGTTACTTCGCCATGTCACTATTAGCTTATAACAATTCTTTCTTGTTTTGATGTTCTTTAAAGTGCATTTAATTATTATATCATATAAAATTTTACAAACGTTCAAACGTAACTAGTGATTTCCGAAGTTCTGTCACTCAACTCTTCCATCGATTTCTTGACCACATTCATGAAAATTATTAAAAAACTGGGAGTATTTAACCCGCAATGCCCGACGCATCTGATTATTTTAACGAATGCAAAGCTTGATATCTTGTTTACAATAACATTTTTCACATTCTTTACGCAGCTTTGTAGTCAGAATTTACAAAATTCATTAATATTAATAAGCTGTCGCGTATAAAGGGAGAACCACCGCGTGTCAAATTGATGTTATCGTGCACGAAGAATGGTCTTTGTTTTGTCATTGTTGATTCTCTGGATTATGCTATATGGCAAAGAGAAGGCCTGTTCCATACCCCGCGTAAGTGTCAACTTTCACAAGCACATTATGTCAAGTCAGTGACGGAAATAGGCATGGTGATAAATTACACTACTGAAGATGTTAGTAGCAGTAGAGCTTGTGAACGAGTTCGTCTGGGGAAGTACTGCCACCTTACCCATTTCTGTCGCCAAGCAGTATTGTGAGCAGTTTTGAACGGTGCTGGTGAAATTGCTGGCACATGGGACATCTCAACTTATGTGTCTTAGGGTCGTATTCTAGAACTCTACTCAATGTTCAAGTCAGGATTTGAGTATGGTTTAATTAAAGCATTCGAAATCATACTCAAGTCCCTGCCATTAGGGTCGTATTTCCAGTGCTTGTGTTTCAATTGCAATCCTGACTTGAGCTTTGAGTAGAGTTCTAGAATACGACCCTAAGTGTCGTATTCCAGAACTCTACTCAATGCTCAAGTCAGGATATGAGTATGATTCAAAGCACTCGAAATCAAACACAAGTCCCTGCCATTAGGGTCGTATTTCCAGTGCTTGTGTTTCCAGTGCAATCCTGACTTAAGCGTTGAGTAGAGTTCTAGAATACGACCCTTAGTGCGACGGGCGCAGTGGTCTTTGCGATCTAAAACTCTGAGTGGCACTGCAATTTGTTATGGACAGGGGTGTCGCTCTCCAGGAGGCGCACGACTGTTCGCCCCTTCACTTGGTATCATAAAATAAAGTTAATTTACCTCATTCGGATGCTTTATTTGATTGATGATTAGGATGCTTATTCTTGTTTATGCAATGACCTGCCTTGTCATTACAAACAATATTATTAAAATCAAATCCGGAATGTCTATGCTTTCGTTTAATATGTAGTGCATTTTATTCAATAAATGATTATCATTAGTAACAGGTTTCTTACCACGGTATAACTTCTTTTTATTTTCCTAGTAAGAAACCTGTTACTAATGATAATCATTTAGTGAATAACCACGAAAGTCTTAAAATCTACATTATTTATTCATTTACATATCGTCGTTGTTTCGTAGAAAGGGCGAATTTTAGTTTTTCACCGCTGATTTAAAATATTTACGTCCAGGTATAAATTCAATTTTAAAACTTAAACTTAATTAAATCCAAAATTGAATTTTAAAACTGGACGTAAATTTTTTAAAACAGTCTTTAAAACCTAAATCATTGTCTCCTGAAAAATTTTTTGAAACGCTTTCGCCCTTTCTACAAAAAACTGACGATGTATAATATTACTTTTTGGAGATTTTCTGATTGTGACAGAACTTCGCAATCGACTACGTACATCCTACAACAATTATATTATAGGAAACATTTTCTCGATTACTCATAATTTGACCTAGTCGAAATTAGTAATGATTGTATGTAATTATAAATTACATAGAATAATTACCAAAGTGAACTTAATTAAAGTAAGGTCATATTATTGGTGCACAGTAGAGCTTGATCTATTTAAATCCTTCATGATCAGAATTGCTTCTCATTAGGTTAATATTTCATGATGCTTCTTCGATTTGATCCCCAGCTTTTTCCACATGTACTGTGCATAGTTAGTTTCTTGTCATGACCAGTTAATGTGTGCCATGTGAATGCGTCGCCAGCATGTACGCTCCTAGGAGCACTGTGGCACATTATTTAAATTTTATTTGCAGAAAACACTGTCACCATGCCTCCCACCCCGGTTACCGGAACGTCCTAAACTCCCACTCCGCTATCCAATTATATCCACGAAGAAATTAGTTGACATATCGGACGCGCCTGTACCGCCGCCGCGCGCCACGCCGGCGCCCGTCAACAGAATGCACTTTGTCAGTAACATTACTAAAAACGAGAGCAACGCCGCGGCGGATTTCCATACGAGCACAATAAGCTTTTCGGAAGGGAAAGATAAAGCTAAGTTGAAACTGACTACGTCGACGAACCAGAGAAAGTTGCCGCAAACCAGCACTCCTGCTCCTTGTAACGGCAGCACGCCAACAATGTCGTCGCCCGTAGTAGTCAATAGGCGCAACCAGGACCACAGTAGGTTGGTCAGGGCCGTGCCCTGGCCGCCCGCCCCCCTCCACCTCAACCCATTCAGGGGTAAACAACAAGAGGTAATTGTGCTATGCGCTTTGGTTATCATATCGATCCTGCTCGCATATGTAAAGCAGATTTATTTTTAATTATTACATGAAGATACAAGAGTGAAGTTTGCACTAACACAAGAAGTTTAACTAATGAAAAATAAGTATTTATAGTATAAACATTGATATCAGAAAACACTTAATTTATTGTTAATGATTATGGATTAATATATTTCTAACATTCGCAAGGTTGTCCCTTCATTCCTATATGGTTGTTATATTAAGAACCCTTCACTTCCTCTGGTTTAATTAATTCACTTTATTGGTAAATGGAGATTCTTACCTATCACACGAGTTACTATTTTCCTATCACTCATTGGAGTATGTAAATGGACAATTATCTATTTATATTATGAGTATTTTTTTTTGCTTTAGAACCAATTTCAATTGCAAAGCAAAATTTTCAAGTATCTTAAAATATATAAGTGTTAATAACGTAACGCCTACTGAATTGATTAACCACGTGTACATAGGCATACAGGATAGTGTAAATATTACTTGTGAAATCGTCTTGCGGTATTAGTACGTAAATTTTTGAACTAAATTCGTGTATACCGATTAGTCGAGTCTTTTATAACTAATGGGAGGTGCGAGTAAGCGCTACATCATAACTCATTCTAGAAGATAAAAGTGTTACTACTCCAAGTACATGCACTTAAATATGTTGGTGAATAAGGAGTCGTAGAATAAAAAAAATATTTTAACCCAGGTGGCGTGATGACCAATGGTCGGAAAAAGGTATTCCACATGTATAGATATAGCTACAAGGCGCAACATAAAGTTGTTAATATCGTCAAATATTAGTTAATTACTATTTCGAATTCCGGATTTCCGGAAAGGTTCTACTGCATCGTCTGACAAATAACTATTGACCTAGGAAGCAGACATTTACCAACGCAGAGAATAAAAGTAACGAGAATGGTCACTCTCTGCCCCCTCCCTAGCTTTAAATACCGCACCGAGCCCCGCATATTGACGGTCACAATGACGGAACAGTAACAAGGCTGTCTATTATCTACTGCACTTTTTTACAAGGCACTATTAGAATTACTTTCAAATCCAAATTCGATTTCCTATGTCAGTAGTTTGTCATACGATACAATAAAACCACTTCCGGAAATCCGGAATTCAAAAAAGTAATTAATTAATATATGGCGATTTTAACAACTCTATAACGCTTCTTGTAGCTATGTATCTTTACATGTATCTATAATACGTGGAACACCTTTTCCGACCATTGGTGATGACTAACGCAGACAATTTTTTTCCCGATAATTTCTTTCGACTCTAGGTTTTTATGTCGATGTTACAATGCCAAACATAGTGCAAAATGAGTGGTAATAAGAATTAAATTGGTTCTTATGGACGTACATAGGTGGGTAAAGCGAATGTTATTTATTTTTATTTAGCTTTTCCCATCATTACATTAAATGGGTTGCTAACGAACTAACTTTCGGGTACAAAATAACAATAATATATTGGGAAAAATGTTATTTCGGCGTCTAACGAGTATTTACTATGCATGTATATATATACATAATTATGTAGTATATATTTGAGCATGTTTTGTATACTGAGCACGAATTAGCTTTTTGTAGTTAAGCTATATTTTTATTACTTTGTAGTTAACGCTATTATTCGCATTTCTAATATCACTAAAATCGCGATAATTCAATAAAAGATCGCTTGAAATGTCTTCAAATAAAAATGTTTTTTCGTAAATTACGGGTTGAAATATGTGAGGAAAATGTATAAACATACGAAGAGTATATTATGTTTTTTTTTCAGTCACGTGACGCGGACTCTGATCTCATAAAGTTGGACGATTCACCGACAAACCTTGAGGATTTCGATCCGCTCAAGCGCCGAGATAAAAGTGAGAAAACCGACCCGATCAAGTCTACTGCAGATAGTGCGCTCTTGCATGAATACGGACTCGATTTTAGTCAATTTGGTTTGTTTGATTACACCCCGAGTTCAAGTGCGCGACCCGACGCCAGTGTACCTAAAGGGTGGACCACCTTTAATTAGTACATATTGTAATTATAATTATCGTCTGTATTCAAATATAAGTATATTTTATCTGTATAGCTCGCGTACAATTCGTTAATAACTTATGTATAATACTGCTTTCTGATTAAGCATAGTGTAAATTTATTTATTTATTAAATTAAAGTTATTGGCTTTTGTTGTATAATTGTGCTGTTTATAAACGTACCTAATGAAATTATTGTACATAGTTTTACATATCAATGAAATGTAAACTTGATTTTAATATAAATAAAAAAATATTATTTGTATACATACATTTATGTGTGATAAAATTTAATATATTATGTATATACTGAGCTATTGTGAAAAAAACGAGTAAATTGTTACTCAATTTCTATACATTTATAGATCCTTAACAATTTTCCCGTTACGAAACTGATTAACAATTTACTCGAGTGTTATATGAACTTGTCTACCTTTTTCGAACATTATTTATATACTCGACTCAATAAATAACTATTGCAAATTTAACACACTGAAGTTGTCAAATTGTAAGGATGAGTCGTAAAAAGAAATTTGTGATACTGATAAAAAAGAAGGTAATGAATTTCATAATATATGTGTACAGGCATATCGCTTAACTAAATCGGTTCCAGACGTAGTTGCGCCGTGCGGGAGGAGTGACAGTTTACGTAACAGTTATGTCGCTCTGCACACGGGATAATTTCAACAAGATTTTTCTGACGACATTCAATAAAAAGTTGATTGAAAAAAGTTGCAAAAGGCTTGTCTCTTCATTTCAATTATCAATTAAATTTTTTTTTTATTACTACTAATTTGATAGGCACTTTAGGCTATTGAATATCGTCAGAAAAATCTTGTTAAAATTATGCCAGGTGCTGCGCGACATAACTCAGTTAAGCGGTTGACCTGTAATATTATTATATCATTTCTTTTGAAATGGTTGTGTGGTTTCTAGTTCTTCCGCGTTGTTAAGAGAATGCTCTCTCCTACATATTGTTTAGTGGGAGAATGACAAACCGCGATCCAGATTATTAGTTTCTAGGTCAGTTAATATCCAAGATAGGATCAAAATATTTTTTGTATGTAGCGCGTACGCAGTACTGTCCCATTAACTTATGTTATTTCCTCCGTCATGTGCTTTTTAACACGAATAATATAGATAATTGATTTCGAAACAATAGCAGGAAAAGTATTATCATAGCATAATAGGAGAAATAGTGTAATTGTATACATATATATGTGGCACGCCCGCCATATGCTGCGTACGGACGCACATATTGGCATAATCTATATATTATTTAGAGATTTTGTTGATTTTTCTTCTGGTATGCGCAGTATATTGAATGAATATTTATCTTATATAATATTATCTTTCTATGACGAGGTGGATGAACACGGGACTACTTCAATGACCTTACCATATAAAGATAATCGAACATTATACCTTTAAATATACCTGTAACATCACATGCATTGTCAAAAATATGTTTACATCCAATTAATAAAGACACATTAAGAGTACAATTAGCTTATATCAATTTAAATAAATGTTTGTCTACTGTTAATATGAGTTTCAAATATTATTAGTGTTTTATAATAATTTCTTCAAGGTGCTGATTATGGATATACTTAAGTGTGATCAGTTAAATCAAATTAATTACATACTTTGGTACATAATTGTGTAAGTGATCACACTTCTATGGTAGACGCCGTATTTTAGAGGATAACAAAGTCATACATTATTTTAGTATGTATTTTTACAGAAACAGTAATGTAGAGAGCAGTGTAAAATGTGCAGAGTAAAAGAAATTTTATTTATTATGCGAAATAAAAGTCAACAGCAGCTATATTTGAGCTCACTCCACATTCGCGATGAGTTGTTTCATTATCTCCGTTGTAAAATTTATTTTGTGACATATACAAAACACAGTCTCCGATATGTTCTGAAGTGAGACATATTGAGACTTTATTACACACTCTTTTCTACATTCTTGTCGCGAATTTAGAGACGGCTTTTAACGCACATTTTGATACGTCATTTTTGTATGAGAAATTAAAGATTGCGAAAAAATATGTCTTTGTTTTGTATGGTATATATGACAAAAAACAGGACTCCAATATATTGTAGGTACTTGTCATCCTTACTAAAAAAAATGGGGTAAACAAATTTAATGTGGTTTCATTTAAGATCATTCCAGAACGACGCGCATGGCTTATAAGTGGCACGTAGGTAAGATCGCGGTGAAGCGTGGAATACGCTACTAAGGCGACATAAGACATTGTCCAGAAGGAGCGAATTCGCCGTGAATCGTCTCGCGCGCATTCTTACGCGCGTCCATAAGCATCGCGTGAGTTAAAGTTCGCGTGTAAATCGAGTGCAACATGCCCGATGAGAGTGTCGACTATTCGCGCGCATAACGCGCGTGACTTGCGCATAACACACGTGACTCGCACATATCACGCGTGACTCGCGCATATCACGCGTGACTCGCGCATAACACGCGTGGTTCGCGCGAACTTCCAGCGAGTGCACGTATCAAGGGAAATGGAGCGGCAAAATTTTGATACAAAATGTGTTTATGGTGAAATAGAAAAAATAAACCGGCAATATGGGAGTTATTTATTTATTTATATGGGATATGGAATCTTCTGAGTACGCTAATAGAATTTTAAAACGATACAATTTTACAAACACACTATGTGTCATTCTATCGTAAAGAATTGGATGCAGGTACTAAGTAGAATGTACTTTGCTTTCCCTTCCTTTTCGTCGCTTGCAGAGACGGTAAGCTAGCCGCAACTCGACCGCTTCGTTCGTAACTCCATGTATAATACCACAGATTACAGAGTATATACTGACTGAATTCGTCCTCAAACGCTCGTGCGGTAAACGCTTCTTCTGGATGCAAAGTACGCGCGAGAGGATACGCAGCGAATTCGCTTTTATAATATAATGTGACGACGGGACGAACAAGTCGTGCGTCTGATGGGTAAGCTACACGCCTGTCCATAACAGTTGCAGTGACACTTAAAGCTCTACTTTAAATCATAAAAATCTGAGGGGAACTGCCACTGTGCCCGTAAACCCTAAGACGTGTTGACTGAAATAAACTAATATTAACATAATCCAAGCATTTTTATTATTTGCAGAAGACATTTACAGTGTCAATTATATCCATAGATCTACCAACCATAGTGTATATATATATATAACATTCGTCCATCCCTACAATTTACAACATCTCCTCGATAAGCCGCCGAGGTCGCCTGATGGTGCGCTCATGGCGCTTTGATGCTTGCTGTAGGGACGCCGTGGTAGGTGGCGAATGCGTAGTAGCAGCGCATGGCCGCATTGGGGTGGTAGCTGAGTTCTGCGTTCCTGACGAACTTGCAAGGGGTTCCACCTCACTGGTGTTTATATGATGCGGGTCGTGTGTGGCCTGAGAGCCATCAGTAGAAACTGGACTGATATGGTCGGCTAAGCGGGAACGCACTTGATCAGCATGATATCTCCTTTCTACCCCATTGGCTGTGTCTACGGTGTACGAGTATCTATGCGTACGTCTGGATATGGTAGCAGGTTCCCATCGTGACCCATCCCGGGCTCGGACAAACACGCTGTCCCCCGATCTAAAACATGGTGTTAAATTTTCTGAATTTATATTAGCCTGTATCTGCCTATGCTGCAGGGCCTTTTTAGAGTTAGGGCGTGCGTTATCCAAAATACAATGCAGCTGACGTCCGAACATAAGTTGTCCTGGGCTCTTACCGGTGGTGGAATGAGGTGTTATGCGGTAGGAAAAAAGGAAATTTTCTAGTCGTCTTTTCAAGGTGAGATGGTCACTGGCACTTGATGATAGCCTGGATTTGAAAGTGCGAACCAGACGTTCAGCCAAACCGTTAGTCCGGGGATGGTACGGGGATGATTTTATGTGTAGAATACCCTTGTCTCTACAATAGTCTTGAAATTCCTGAGAAGTAAACTGTGGTCCATTGTCAGAAACCAAGAATTGAGGGAAGCCGAAGGTGGTGAAAATGGAATCTAACTCTTCACACAGTTTAGAAGTGGTTATCTGGTTCATGGGTTTAATTTCGACCCATTTCGAAAACGCATCTGCTAAGACAAACCAATATTTTCCCTCGAACGGGCCTGCAAAATCAATGTGTAGCCTTTCCCACGGGTTGTCAGGAACGGACCACGAGTATATAGGCAATTCAGCGTTGTTCGGCCGATTCTCTTGGCATTTGCGACAACGTTTAATGTACTCCTCAATGTCATCGTCAATGGACGGCCACCATACGTAAAAACGTGCTAGCGCTCTCATTGCGGATATGCCTGGGTGTCCTGTATGCAGATATTCCAAGGTGGCCTTTCTCAGGGTGTTCGGTATTACTATTCGACCTTGCCACATTAATATCTTATTTTCAATGGACAACTCAGTGCGCTTCCGAGCATAGGGCTTTAAGTCATCTGAATAAAAATTTTCACGCCAGCCGGTCTTAATGTACTCTGATACCTGTTTAAGCAAAGGGTCCTTCCTTGTCGCGCCTCGTACACTGTCCTCTGTTAACGCAATATCCGAAACTCTTTCATGCTGCAACTGAGCTACCACTCTGTGTACTGTCAATTCTGCATTAGACGGTTTATCTTCTGGATTGGGCATCCTAGAAAGAAAATCAGCCATAAAATTTAGATGCCCTTTTGTAAAAACTATATCGTAGTCATACCCTCCAATGATTAAAGCCCAACGCACTAGACGGTTATTGACAATTTTCGGCAAGTTACGTTGTGGTCCCAAAACGTGAATCAATGGCTTATGATCAGTGCTAAGTATGAATTTGGTACCACGTAAATATTGATCAAACTTTTGGATTCCAAAAAATATTGCTAAAGCTTCTCGGTCAATAACTGAATATTTAGTTTCCGCTGGTCTTAGTTTCCTTGAAGCAAAAACGATAGGTTGAATTTTGTCTGCCGATTTATGATATAGGACGGCACCCACACCTTTTTCCGAGGCATCGCAGGCTAAATACAATGGGCGCTTTTCGTCAAAAGCAACAAGCGGTTTCGATTTACTAATAAGATCTTTTGCGTTCTTAAAACTCGTATTTTCTTTGACGGTCCATTGCCACTTCCGGCGACCACCAGTCAATGCATGCAGATCTGCGCAGACACTATGTAGGTGAGGAATAAATTTCTCGTAAAAATTTATAAGACCTAAGAACGACCGCAGTTCTTGGGCGTTAGTGGGCGGTGTCGCTTTCATTATTGCATCAATTTTCGATTTCGTCGGCCTAATTCCGTCTTTAGTAATTGTGTGCCCAAGGTATTCAATCTCTGTCTGGAAAAATGAACATTTCTTTAAATTGACTTTTAAGCCCGCCTTATCTAGTTTGCTAAACACGGTCGATAGTGTTTGGAGGTGTTCAATGTCATTTTTCCCTGTTAAGGCAATGTCGTCAAAATACACTGCGACATTTGGTACACCGTCCAAAAGTTCATCCAAGTAATGTTGGAAAATTGAAGGAGCTGTTGAGATTCCAAATGGCATCCTATTGTATTGATAATATCCTTTGTGCGTAGAGATTGTCAGGTACTGTTTCGACTCTGGAGCTATTTCAAATTGCAAGTACGCATCCCTTAAATCTATTTTCGAAAATTTGGCTCCATTTGCCAGATTTTGTCGTAGCTGGTCAAAGAGTGGGACTGGGTGAGAATGAGTGACAATAACAGGATTAATAGTGCTACGAAAATCACCGCAAATTCGGATTTGGCCATTTGTTTTTACGACATTCACTGTGGGTGTAGCCCATTCTAATGGCGTGACATTTGGATCAACTTTAGTCACGATTCCTTCGTCAACTAAACGTTGAAGTTCAATTTCTATGTTCTTACGCATGGAAAACTTAACTGGTCGAGCAGGGACATGTTTAGGTACTGCCCCAGGTTTTATATGAATGTTGACTTCATAATTTTTAACTTTTCCTAGTTTATTATCAAAAAGGGATGAAAAGGTTGAAAGTACCTGTTTAAGCGTAGTGGTGTGTTGAATGGGTTTAACCGAATAGACTGGCTCTGGGAATGTCATTTTATACATCTCGCTCCACTGGAGGCCAAAAAGCATTGGATTGGCGTCTTCCATAACCACAACAGGTAATATTTTCCGCTCTCCCATGATTTCAACGGTTACGTCGGTGAGACCTTTTGGTTTGAGCTTAAGGTTCCCATAAGCTCGTAGCTTCGGTGCCTTGGTTAGAGAGGGTTCTCCGATCCGCTTCCAGAAATTTGTGCTAATAATGGAGTACACGGATCCTGGGTCCCAATCGAATGTGCAACTGACACCGTTGACGGTTACATCAATTCTCTTGCTGTCCTTGTTTCTCTTGCGTTCAACCTTGAAGACATCATCACTTTCATCCGAACTCGTGTCAAAAGACTGTGATGAACTTCCATCATTGTGTGCATTGTACTTAATTTTATGCAGTTTGTTACTATAATTGGTTGGTTGTTTCTTTTCTGTCGCGGTGCTCGCTAAATATGCCCTACCAGACTTTATACAGCAACTTTCAAAATGACCTTGTATGTGGCATTCATCGCATGTATGGTCTTTTGCCTTGCAAACGTTTAGCCTATGTCTCTCTTGTGCACCACATCGACGGCACTGGTTTGGACTTAGTTTGCGTAGAAACGTACATTGTTTATAGTGACGTCCTGTACTTGTTCTTGCTTTTACTTTATTAGCGGTAGCGGGCATGCTACTATCAGCATCACCTTCTGCTAACTCTCTGGACTGAGCTACTGCAAAGAATTGATCGAAAGTAACCTCTACAAGTTTTCCGTCGTAAGTCTCTTGAAGGTCTGGCCATTTCTGTTTTAGGTCCACTTCTAGTTGAGGGTGATTTAAGCCGGTAGCAAATCGATCGCGCAATTGACGTTGAAACATTGTGTCCTTGTAGCCACAATCGCTGGCGAGTTTCTTTAGCCTGTTAGCATACTGTTCCATAGTCTCGTTGTGGTCTCGTACGCAACTCCAAAATTCAGTTAGTGCTTTATACCTCGTAACTTTAGTTCGATGTAAATCGAGTAGTTTAGACTTAATGTCATTGTAGGAACTGTTTCCAAAGTTAGGAACGAGTGCTATTTTTAGGTCGTGAAATATCTCAGGAGACATACATGAAAATAATAATTCTTTCCTTGTGTCATTATCACTTACGGCCCATATGTCACATTTGGCTTCGAAAAAATCTAAAAATTTTTCTACCGATACAGTCGCAGGGTTAAAAGTGTCGCATTTGAAACTTTTAATAATTGTGTACTTGTTGCTGCTTGCCGAGCTGGTAGGTTCCGTGCCAGGTGTTGCTGGCGTGGGGAGCTCCACTGCTGGTCGTTGCTGCAACACAAGTTGTTGCAAAATGTCCGAAATCTGTTGTTGCTGATTTTTTTGTAATTGTAGAAATTCTTGGAATTGTTCCTTATTCATTTTGTTTGGTTACTCCTCGTCGCCAATGAAATAAACTAATATTAACATAATCCAAGCATTTTTATTATTTGCAGAAGACATTTACAGTGTCAATTATATCCATAGATCTACCAACCATAGTGTATATATATATATAACATTGACAATTACCATGTGCCTGTAATTTCACTAGCGCCTTTACGCTTCAACACCGGAACACAGTAAGGCTCAATTTATATTGCGGCAGAACGGAATGGGAGCGAATTTTTGGAACGTTATTGTACAAAGCATAATGAACGCAAATGAAGTTCCGCCGCAATATAAATTGAGCCTTATGCTCACATTACTGCTTAACGGCAGAAATGGGTAAGGTGGCAGCACTTCCCTGGACAATATGTCCATGTTATTAAATAGAAAAAACGTTTATTAAAAGTACATAGAACATAAGTTAATACACTGATATTCTAGTAGCAGTAGAGCTCCTTGTGAAACAGTTCGTCGAGGGAAGTAATGCCACCTTACCCATTTCTGCCGCCAAGCAGTACTGCGTTCCGGTTTTGAATGGTAAGGATGCTGGTAAAATTACAGGCACATGAGACTTGTCAACTTATGTCTCCGGGCGCAGCGGCAGTGCCCATCAGATCTTTGCGATTTAAAGTTTTGGGCGGCATTGCAATTGCTATGGACAGGCGTGCAGCTTACCACCAGGAGCACGATTTGTTCTTCCCGTCACTTGGTACGATAATAAATAAATAAAAATAAAAACGTATTTGTGGCGAAAAAACAAATTTTATACTGATCTTTGGTTTCAGTATTTTGTGCTGAGTGCGTGGCTCAGCATAAAATACTTTTCAGTATTTTGTGCTGAGTGCGTGGCTCAGCATAAAATACTGTACACCGTGAAAAGTCAAATAGCGTTGGTTTTTTTTGCCAATACCATATGGAGAGCGACCGCATCCCAGTATGCCATACCACGAAAGTGCATCACACGCAAATCCATATAAGTCTAAAATGTAACACACACAGCTTTTCCTTACCAGTTTAATGCAATTCCGTGTGATAAATATGATTACTACCTAAACAGGGTTTTACAAGACATTTTTTCAAAGGTTCTCTGCTATAAAAAATTCTGAAAGTCTAACGGGACACAAAATGACCTTTTCTGGCATTGCTTTTAGGATGAATTTATAATTTTTAAAGCCCCATTGAATTTTAATTGCATCATTGTATTGATTCTGCATAAGATTTAAGTCAGAATTACTCTAATAATAAGACACCAGCAATTAACACTATGCTAACTTAAAAATTGCAACTTTTTGCCAGAGATTGCTCTTATCGCTGAAAAGGGAAACTTGCAACAATTTTTAGTTTTGTTAACTGTAATAAATATATTAATTATTTTTTTACGATAACTTGTTTTCTTAATTTTTAATTTAATATGAATTGCCGCAATAATTAATTGGCATCCCTAAATTCGACAAAATTCAAGTTAGCGTAGTGTTAATTGTTGGAGTAATTTAGTTATAATCTGAATGGGTTTTGTTTTGAAAAATTTGCCATTCACCTTACCAAAGTACCTACACAAAACGTTTTTGTGCGCCTAATCCATTGACTATAATTGTAAGTCAATGGCCTAATCGCAAAATTTCGAAACCCATTATAATGTTTTGAAACTTGAGTATAAGTAGCCAACATGGTGAAGTCTGTAACATACTCGATGGTAACATATCAGCTCATAATTTGTTAAAAAATTAATATACTTACCTCACTTCACTCAGTGTGTGGCCGATGGACCAATGGTGATGATGGTGGAACGATGGTTCCTAAGACTAAAATTAGAGATATTTAAATATTTTTACCAAATATTTTAAACCAATTAAAAAGTGTATTAAAACTTGTTTCTTTGTTTAACTGCTAAAATCATTAAATACCTTACCTCAAAAATATAGGTTAAACCTAACACTATGTACTATATAAGTAATTTTCACCTTCCTACTCCCTTAAATATAGGTATCCTTTAAAATACCGAAACGTGGGTTACTCGTCAACAGTTTTCTGGGGCTAAGTATTTAATATACTAGGTATATAGCCTCCCAAGTTGTTACCCATAACTCGAGATCCAAGAAGTCCGGAGCACATTCACAGATATTGGGCAGATCCGCCCCACCGTTAACGATAATACTAGGTACACACAATAGAGAACTCGAGCTTAATAAAGATTAAGGAGCTTGTCGGACGTGAAAAACCTTCTTACTTTGAAAAGAACTTACGATTTTCGCAGCATTTTTCGGAATGGATTTAAGGTAATATAAATGATAGAGTTCTCTGGTGGTATAAGCGACTATTCTCCATCAGGTGTCATCAGTACCGTAGTAATGATGGGCAGTAATTCGCCTCAACCAATTTGTTCAGAGACCAGAATATCTTTGGCATCCGCACAGATTAATGGGTGGTTTGATGAAAAAAAAAAACAAGCGAAAAATGTCGCATCTCGTTTTTAATCTGCTTTATTGTAACGCCATACACGCGTGGTCCCCTTGGGATGTAAATGGGATGAAGATATCACAGACCGAGATGCGAAGTTGACTAAGAGCCGTTACACACGCGCGTCGAGCTCGCCTGCGCGTCTATCTTTACACACACGCACGACTTAAGCAGCTATACAATCGCGATAAATCACGACGCGGTCGCAGCAGTGGTATGATCCCGATTCAAACGCGCGACTGTATCGATGCAACCGCCTGTAAAACCCTTTTCATAAAAGCGCGTTTGCATCGTTGCTAATTTGATAGCATTAGAATCTGTTGTCAGCTGAAGGTTCAAGCAGTTGTAAGCAAGTTAGCAGCGTGACACGTCAGCGGAAGTCTGTTCTGTGTAACCGTCAATTTATATCCAATTATATAAGATATCTTTGTTTCCCAGTACGCAAATTACACTTTTTTTAAATCTTTATTTATTTAGGGGCTTTGATCGTTATTGAACATGTGAAATCAAATATTTAAGAATTACTCTTTTCCCACTTTCAAAATTACACTATTCCTCATTTGCAAGGCAGATTCTCCTGGGAAGAATGAGTAACAAAGTGTAGGGTTTGCTCTTTGTAAGTAAGTAGACATTTGTACACATTTATCATTTACAATATTTATTTAAAATATCATTACGTAAGAAGAAAGAAACTAAAACAGCCAAACGGATCACTCCCATGAAATGTATCATCCATATACGTAACCAAATGCTGTATGACGATAACCTTTAGTATGAAGAGTTTGTTTCGCGGTAGTTTTAAGGCTCATATATGGTGAATTTTGATATATTAAAAATTCGCCATGTACGACTACTATCATCTGCATGATAGACTACATAAAAAAGTCCTGACTAACGTAAAACCACAACCGAAGCTTTTTTATTTTTTTTAATCCCAAGTGACGGGACGAACAAGTCGTGCGCCTGGTGTCAAGCGATCGCTGGTCTACATCAGTTGCATTGCCACTCTGAGCTTTAAATTCTATATATCTGAGGAGCGCTGCCACCGCGCCCGTCACCCTGAGACATAAGTTGACAAGTCCCATGGGCCTGTAATTTCACCTACACCCTCTTACCCTTCAAAACTGGAACGCAGTGATGCTCTGCTTGGCGACAGTAATAGGTAGGGTAGTACTTCCCTGGATGATTTCTTTCACAAGGAGCTCTATTGCCACTAAGTTAAAGACATGAAATTTTGACTAAACCTACCTTTCATGACGTACACCTATGCGCCAAATAAAAGGGATTTCTCCACATTCTTCTCCTAAATATACCTAAAACCGATGCGACCTTAACTTATTTATAATAAATTGATTACTTTGTTCGAAGTTGGTATAAATGGTATATGCTGTCTCTACGAGTGGCTGTAATAAACGAAATTCTTGTACGGGCCAGAAAAAGATTCACGAATAAATAATATGTGCAGATTAACATGCAAATATCTACCTCAACATTCGTGTCGCTACATTTTGTAACGTTTCTTCTAGCAATGAACTATATCTACACTCTATGCAGGATGTCTCTTTAGTTTGCTCAACAGCAAACTTCACAATATTTGAACGATCTTTAAATTTTATATTGTGTTGTTAAGTATTAAAAAGCCATCAAGAAGGACTCTTTGTTTGCTGAAAAAATTAACCACCTAATGATTGTTAAAGTTAAATATAAACTGACGTATAGGTACGTAAACGTAATCAGTGGTTCTCAGTACCTAATTAATACAATAAAGAAAAACAGCGGACGAGGATTCCGACTAGTTTGAGGTTAGAATATAATCTTCGAAAGTTTGCGTGGTGCATTTTAATCGTAAAGGAATAAATACACCCGATATATAGCAGTTTCTTCTTGTTAGACTTAATTATAAGATTTTTAAAAGAACAGGTAGGTAAGGATAGCTGGGCAAAACTTTACAGTGCTACTACCAAGCGTACAGTTTACTGTACTGTGTCGTTTACGACACTACACTAACAGGTAACTGGGACGGAGGGCTTGCGTGTATTAACACTCCTAGCATTAGTCAATGGACTCTTGCACCCAGGTGGATTATCTTCCGCATACCAATTGAACAATTCCAGGCGTCAAGCCGGAACACGACCTGGGTCGTCAGGTTTTCTTGCTTTACTTAGGGTTTGAACCGGCGATTAGTCGTTCATTTGGCACCACCGATAGATAAATGTGAGAAACATGCGGTGAAAAATCTCTCCAAAGCGAATTCCGAAATTTAAAGCAACCAGGTTTAAACCGCCTTAATTAATGTTATTTATATATATATAATAAATGTTATTACATTTGTATCATCTCGAATTGCAGAATAGGATTGAAAAATAAAACAATCATGTAAATTATGCTTGTTTTAATCTAATTTTAAGATTTAACAGTTCTTATTATATTATTAATTACACATTTCTTACATAAAGACTATCTATTACTAAGTACTTACATACTTACACTATAAACTATCATAATACGTACCAAGTGTTGCGAGTACCTACTTGAAACTTGGATACGACGTGAGCAGATATACTAACCAAATTATTTAAAGTTAGGCATTCGCCTCTCGTAGTATAAAGGTGGGCCTTGGTTTTTCTT